ACATAACACGGGATGCTGTGGAGAAGATCAACTAAAAAATGCTGGCTTTGTTTCTCTAAGAAAACTTTCTACTGTGTGAGAAACGAAACAACCTATCAATGAGGCTAATGCACTTTACTGTTTCATTGCTGTTTTCAAATTCCTCAAAAACACTTTAAAACGTTATTTCATGAACAGTAGGACGTATTATTCTGTGAGCTTCTAATATTTCACTTCGTTGCCATTCAATGTGAGTACTACCAAATGTTTCTTAATATAATCCCAATGTTATTTTGTTTAGTGTGCTGTTTGATAAAAATGTTTACTACAGACTTCGTCGCGGACAAACATTTCTATCTTTAATTTTGTAGTTTTGAAATGTTACATTTTGACTTTTACGAAAAAACGGAGAGTTTATAGCTCCATATTTTGTTATTATATAAGCACCATATTTTACCGTCTCTTATTGCATGTAAGGAGAAAATTTGAAGAAAAAATTTTGAGGGTTTTTTTTTGAGAAAAAAAGTTGAGATTTATTAAATTGCCTATATTTTGCTCAAAGTTACACGAATATAATACGAGAAATTAAACCTAAACATAATCTGTCTTTAAGGAACAGATTTCAGTAAGGAAAGCTCTATCTTTATTATGGCTGTAGGAAAACTCCCCCAAAAACGTGAGGCCCACACAATTCTTTTGATGTGTCCTTTACACTATTCGACAAGAAAGTTTAATAATAAAATTTGATGCCACTTTTGAGAAAATTTGGAAAATGATGTTGCGATCTCACGTTAAGTACTTTCAAAAATGAAAATATCTGTTTGAAACGCAAAACCTTGATTTTATTCAAATCGATCGGCGAGTATTAATTGGAGAAATCGGCTGAACGGTGTAGGTGCTAGCGTTGACCATTGACGAACAGGCCGGTGTTTTGTCGTCAATCGATTTTTCAGTGTCAAGGACGCGCATAACATGGATTCTGGCTACACTACGTGTTAGAGGAAGTAATTTAGTATACATATCAACAGGATTTATCCACTTTTTCGTTTCTTCAGGGCCCAGCAAAAAGGGTTTTTCTGCCGAAAAGTCTCCGTTTTCCTGCGCACGATTACATATCTTTCTCTGCTCACGAAGTACATTCGTAAGGGCGAGACATTAAAATCATAACCATTATTAACAAAAGTTTGAAAATGTTCTAGGAGCCGTGTGTAAAGTCCAAAATGCATAGAACCAAGTGCCAGAACTCTCGCGTGTTAACCACCACCCTTAACATTACCACATCTTTCCATTTTGATATTAAGAGGCAAAGTTATTAACAAAACGTGTTTGTGTGTTAAAATGCATAAAGGTAACTACCACTGTACTTACGGAATGTCAAATAAAAACAAAGTAATTCATGTCTGAAACCAGTGGTTGTTCGTGCTTAGGTTGCATGGTTGCACAACCCCCAGATAATCGAAAAATATTTTGAGTTAGGAAAATAGATTCTCTTTTTAATGTCACTCAATATTCAAGATAGTGCAGCAATGTCGATTTATGTGAAATCGTTTTGAAACCAAAGAGCGCCCAACTGGCGGTCTCTGCGGTGTCTGGTGCCTTCCTAAGTATTGCATCCCGGTCTTGACTCTTGCCTTATTTCTGCGATTACTGCATTTACTATTTGGCCCAACGCATTAACGCCTGTCAACATAGTCTTCGGTGCGGCATCTCGGGGTGGGTGGGGGCTTGATCGTCGAGCGCTGCACGGTGCCCCGAGGGGAAATCCAATTTCCTGTCTTCGTCTAACACTAGGTAAATCTTAAATTTATGAATTTCGCGTGTTATTGAAAGTATCCAAGTTCAGTCAGTTATTCGTGGTATTGAATGCATTATTTATGATTTTTGGAGAATTCGTTTTCTTTTTTTGTTAGGTTTTCTATTTAAAATGTACATTTTTAATTATGAGTCCAGTGTGTAAAGTTGGCCGTTCTGGAAGGAAGTCTCTTTCTGTCTCTGTCGGTGGGGGTGTCTGTTCGACTGCAATTACAGCTCAGCTACAGTCTGCGAGCGATGATGTGTGTGGAATATCTTTATTACAAGATATAGCAGGGTAATGAAGTTTTCGAAATAAAGTAATAACGGACCCAAGCAATAGTGCTTGTTGTAAAGTACTGGGGTGCGATCGCGGTATTTCGTATATTTGTTGTTTTTTATAAATTCTATTACCGTCAATTGCCTCAATGCAGAACTAGTACAAAATCTTGAGTGCCCAGTGGAACTCAAAACCAAAGCCCAGTTCGTGGAAGGTGTGACCTGACACGAACATTTCGCAAAGTTGTATAAATATATTTTCAATGAAAGGTACATGTATTGCTTAAATTTTATATATCTGAATCAATGTTCTGAATTTTGGAAATAAATTTCCGTCATTGGATTGAAGTGCAACCTCCAATCTATTGCGGCACCAGCCGCCAATGTTTGAAACATTTTCAGTAAAGGTTTATTCAGTATAATAGACATGTGCTTGGCACATTTTTTAAAAGTTTGCTGCCTCAGTAGTGACGCAACGCAACTTCAAACCCCCTAGAAGGGCGTTGAGCAGTTGCTTTAAAGGAGTAATTCTCAGTTAACGTGTATTGGAGTAATGCTCCGTTAATATTATATTCGTCTACTGTCCAGTCTCGTCTCAGTCAATTGTCAAGAGGACCGTCAGGTAGCATCTCTGCGTACGCGCCTCTCTCTCCCTTACGCGCTCATGCGTAACTACTCAGCGGCCCGAATTGGGAAGGAATTAGGAAAGTGATATGGGATTAGGACACTTCACTGGGTTTGCATTAGCCCTTCCGAAGAAGCCGAACTCATTTTGTTGGAACAAATTTCACATGGAGATTGTCCGGGAATCGAACCCAAACCTTGGCGAAATGCGAGCGCCATCGCTCTGAGCTACGAGCAAACCAATTCACAACACTTTCTTACAAACAGCCTTAGAAGTATTTGTACTATCTTCTCTTGGCAGTTTTTAGCTTTCGTTACAAAAATATTAAGCTACGTAACTTTTTCCATGAGAAAATACAGGATCAGGTAAGTACATCTTACTCTTTGAAGTATTATATAACGTTATTACTAATCAGAGAGGTAATATGCAATTCAATCGCATAGAATATCAAGGAATTACTTTAATTTCACATAGAGAAACATTCCACACGCCTTTGAACAGGTGGGGTGGTATCGAGAAACATCGTAACGTATAATAGATTGTCCAAGAAGATCTTATCCAGTAGTTTACGGCGTGAACTTTTTTTATGTCATTGGCCTCAATATTCCCGATTTTATGGCATTCGAAATATTTTGTTTACGTCAAAAACAGTTAAGAACTGTGTGACGTAGGGGGAGAAGTTAATTTGAAGTTACATTTATGTCCAAAAGCAAAAAAAATACTTGTTACAGGTTCTTTACAATTATACAATCCAAATGGTGTACGTACACCATTCTCTCGTCAGAATGATGTAGAAAAGAAACAAATTTTGGACAACTTTGGACCTACTGCTTTGTTGAGTGCGAGAAAAATACAAGAAAATTGAATTTTTCGTGGTATTATTCACACAAACAGCTAAAAGGTAGTGAAGTTAAAGATAAGCTTTATTGTTGGCCATGTCTATGAGTCTTTTATTAAGGACGCAACACGTTTTTAGAATCTGAATATCTTGAAATAACGTCTGTGCGTGCTTCTTTGAAATAATGCTTTGGTTTGTAATGATTTCAGCGGTACATTTGTTTTGAATAAATTCAATAAATTGCAAAAGAATTAGAAGAGGAACCTCATGCCTCCTCGGAATCCACCGCTCTTCAGTAATCTGTTTTGCCTACTAAGAACATTTTGTTCACGAGCCCCAATGATCTGTTCTCAAAATGTTTAACAATTGCCGTTCTAAGTGCAGCCCATTTTGAATTTAGTCAGCAAGAAACGCCTCAAACTGTCAAATCAAGTTTTTCCGAAGAATCTTCAAACCTCCTTAAAACCAAACATAACTAGAAACTCTCAAATTCCAAAGAATTTACATACTCCCTTCCCCCTAATTTTAATCCAACATTCATCACATTAAACTGAAATTTATTATACAGTACTTGCCGAGTAAGAATATTCAAAGAAAATTTAGGATGTTTCCAATACAATAATGTATTTATATTTCTCATTTCTGTAAGACCTTTTGGCCGATCGCATACAAATAAATTAAAAAGATCCTTATCAAATGTTATCAGTTTTCGAACCGGACGTAACCTCGGATACTCGCAAATATATACAAAAGATTTGATAAGATGTAAATGTTCCTATTTTTGTGCAAAATATGCAAAAACATTGATCAAATGATGATCAAAAATAAAATACTTCCATGCATTGAACATTTCGTAACATCATTTTTATAAGGGAGATATTTAAGGAAGGGTCTTGCCGCGGTTATAGCCCACTCTGAGGGAGTGGAGTGGGCTATAACCCCACCCATGGTGCAACTCCACTCCCTGAGAGTGGGCTATACCATGGTGCAAATAGCACAGGGGCTATGCCCCAACCCTCTGGATTTGGTAGAAATTATCTAAATTTCTCGTAAATATAGACGGCCGAGATCTTTTCGTGAATTAAAACCAGAATGTTTTAAGCATTTTTTCATCCGATTTGTCTAATTTTACTCGGATATCAAACGAATTAGTTTTAATCGAAGTATTTCCAGCATGGTAATTGGTCTCATTCATGTTTCACTCTAATTTAAACAAAGTGGCACTTTGAAGTCTCGAGCTGAACGGGGATCATCCAATCGAAAGCTTCATGTCCACTTAAATGTCTGATATTGGAGTTTCAAATTGGATGACAACGTCTGAATTGGATGTCCCCTCTCCTTCCAACACGTGGTCGTAGTGTCACTCTGATTGAATGTTAGGTTTCCATGGATACCGCTTGTGAAATTGGGCACTGTTGGGCATGTTGACCCGTAGGGACGGTTGTCTCAATGATTTTAGTAATAAAATGGAATGTGTTGAAGTTTTAGCGGAAAATATAATTAAAATAGAGCAGGTAATTTTTTTTACTTACTGTTACAACCTGTGTTTTCTTAATTTAAGTAAATGACAAAATATTATTATGAAGCACTAAATTTAAATAGAAGCTGAAGTAGCTGAATGTTCATTTTGAGTAGTGAGGTATTACAAGAGTAACTAGAGAATCGATTAAACTGAAAGTTATTTGCAAAGGGTATTCATTATATTGTATAAGAATTGGAGGATTGAATAATTTGTTTTATTACTTCATTTGCAGGTTAAAGAAGAACCAGTTGACATTGAAAAACACAATTCTGTAGTGAGTTAATTTCTTGTGTTCTTAAACATAGCTGGATTATAATTTGTATACCTTCTAATTAATCTCAAAAAGCATAGGTATGTAATAGATGATGAGGGCAAAAAGAAAGTATTATTCAAGAATATCCAAATTAAGCATTTGGATATTTAAGGGTGAAATGACAGAGCCATCCCCACTGAACAACTATTACATGACTTGAATTTTGAGGACCTAGATTATTTATTTATAAGTAGCCTAAGGCTAATGACTAGGGAGCGGATTTTGATGACCAAAAATATTTCCAGAAATGATCAATACAATACTCTTAAAATATTTTTAAAATGCCCTAAAAGCAAACGATAATTATGATAAAAATGTTATCAAAATCAGCTTGGATGAACAACTCAAGCTGTTGGATATGTTACCGATGTAATCAAGGCTTCTTCCATTTGTTCATGTGAGCTCACTCGCAAACTTTAGTTTGGACTGTTCGTTAACGGGAAAATTATGTCTTTAGTTACCCCGAAATCAGCCAAACATAGTGGTTAGGCATCACAGGAACCTTAGATTACATACAATTTCTGAGCAAAGAAATTGAATGGGCTACTCAAGAATTCTGTGGAGAACATTTGTTGCATGTCATAAATATTATTTTAAGCAAGTACCATTAAAACGATATTAAAATTGATGAAACCAACAAAAAATGCATTAAAAATTATGTAAAAAGTAAAATTGGGACTTATTAGTTAAAAATTCATTTAATTAAAAGTTCAGTCATTATTCCCTTATAATTCGAATGTAACTTAATATAAACTCACCTTTTCATAAATGCTCTAACTGACCCTATTTTTATTTCCTCTGGAATTTTATTATATAAAACAATTCAATTATTAAATAATAATTTTAATGACTTATTGTTACTTATATTTTCTTGGTGAAATTATTTTGTTGCATTATGTCATGTATGAGCTTTCTGAATTTGCCTGTTTATAAAAAAGCAAATTTTAGATTTAATATGATTTAAAGTAATCTTTGTGATTCAGTTGCAGGGTGTCTAGCAATCAGAAAACAGGAATTAGCTGGGAGGGATTTTATTTTTTAAATCTCCAGGGATGTTTTCCTAAACCATGAATTTTAATTTTTACATTTTCAAAAAAGTCTAAAAAAAAAAAAATGTGAATGAACTTTGAATATTTTACCATGAAATTATAAAAATTAAAAAAATATAATGTCAACATGTTTTTGCATAGATCATATCTTTAACATCAGATCTGCAAGGATCATAGACTGACCTCGCTTGTGGTTATAATTCATATTTATCATATGAATGTTATTTATATTATATTTAATTTATATCAAATATAATAATTTTTAAAACAATTGAGCGTTACTGTGATAATTTTATCACAATTAATGTAAAATAAGTGGCTGTAGGGAATATAAAAATATTATATATTCAAAACAAGACTTTATTTGAATTATTAATAAACAATACCATCACACTGATTAATGTTCAATGTTATTTCGACATTATTTAATTCTTTTTATAAATTTTAAATCCTAGAAATCCTACCTTTTCATTAACCAGGAAATGTTCGGGGAAAAACTGGAATAAACAGCCAGTTTTGGTTAAGAATTTTGCTAGACATCCTAAGTTGAGATCTCAAGTGGGTGATTCATCATTAGATTAGTAAGGTGTTCCAGAATTCATACATCGATGTCAGGTCACATGTGTGTTTTAATTACTCTTCCCAAGGTGAAATGCTTTTAGCAATCAGTGATTGTATAATAGATAGAGCTTTACTTTGCTTTTCTGTAACCGGCTAAATAAAACATGTAGTTCTGTTGCTTAATAACATTGATTCTTTATTTACTATTATCTGGTTTGTCTCATTTTGAGTATATAAAATTCATACTTCACTTACATATCATTTTTCAGTTCACCATGTTTTCTTTTTGTATGTACAGGCCCTACATACATAAAATATGAGTAAACCAATTCAACAGCAATAAAGAATTAGGTTTGTATTGCCAACAAATCATCTGAAGAACTATTTCACCTCTAAATGAAGAAGTCTTGCTCTTATTTAGAGAACTCTTTGACTCTATATTATACACAATATACACATCTCATTTCATTATATATTTGCCTATCAGTCAAGAGAGAAAATGTTCTTCATGTTTACTTTGGCAGTTAAGTAATATGTTAGTTAAAAATCAGTATCATAGGGATAAAAACAAGTTCTAAACAACTATTTATAGCCCAATTTTCAAAACCAAACCAATAAAAATATTTGCTCAAATGTGCTAATTGAATGTTGGCACATGAGAAAGAGATACACAGTAGAAGTGGTAGCATTTTATATGCAGATTATAATCTTGGTTCCATTTGTCACTACATCATCAATTTGGAAGTTTCAAAATAGTTCTCTATTAGCAACAAGATTTTTAATCAGCATTGTGTTTTTGTTCTAGGAAGATGATCACAGTCATGAATGGTGTTCAGTAAAGGCAGAAAATATTGTAGAAGTGAGTATGATTATTCCATTTTAACATTTTTGATAGTAATGTATTGGAATATTCATTTGATTAACCAGATGAACTGGTGGTACACCAAGAAAAAATTCTTTCTCATAATATTTGTCATGCATTGTAAGTTATTGTGATATTGCAAACCAGTATCCTCATCATATTTTAAAAGAAATGGATACAAAATGATTTGAAAGTAATATTTGGGTGTAGATTGCGTTTGAAGTTTTAAAATCAAAGTCAGTAAAGACTGTATGTGGCATATGGGAGAAAAGAGTAATTTGTGCATGTTTTCTTGAGATGCAGAATCCCTGTCCCACCCATTCACTATACAACATTGAATGTTGATTAAAAATACCATCAATCAAGTAATATAAAATTTATTTGTACCAGAAACAATTGACAAATTATATTTTATTTTGTCATGTAGCTAACAAAATAGCAACTCACACCCCAGTCTACTCATACCATAACTAGGAAATGGCTGCTCAAGAAAATGTGGCTGGATTGTATATCTAGATGCCAAACAAGGGGCTATCTCAGAATTTGCCCAATGAATTAAAATCTTAACTAACCACTTGATTGCTTGGTTATTCCCACTCCATATAACCACTCTATTCCCACCTCTCTTATTTCCTCATGGAGGGGGGGGGGGTTAAATATGTTCCCACAGTATATAAAGGTAGTTTTGTCAAAAGCTACTGATTTGTAAATAAATTGACAAGACAAAGGGTGATTCAAAGCTTAATGAAGGGAGGCTTGCAGGAATGATAATGGCATTTGTGAGCTTGATTTGACAAGGTTCTAACCGACAAAAAAAAAAAAAAAGATTATATGCTGGTAGTGTTCCTGTCAATCAGTTCTTTGCAGGAAACCTGTCATTTCTGCTATATGTTGACAAAAAAGCAGTGTGACATAGACATAGAGTCTGCAATGCAAGTGAATTTTTTGGTGTGTGTGGGGGGAACAAAAGTTGTAACTGCTAATCATGGTTTACTCATGTTTCTCGTGTTATTTGTTGGTGATATCACAATAACACCATCTTAATTGCTTAATTATTGTTATAACATGCATTGAAATGAGTTTGTGATCAGTTTGATAGGGTATCAAAGTTGTACTATGCTATTTATTAGATGCGAATGATCATTTATTTGTAATTGGTGTTTAGTAATATGAGAATAGTCTATCCACAGAGTCGAGATCGCTAATGCAGTAGTGTCGTGTCTTGGATCGAAGGATCATGGGTTCGAATCCCGCCTCAGCCATGTATGTATTTGTGATCATCTCTTCACCCTTCATCATCATCATCATCATCATCATCATCATCATCATCATCATCATCATCATCCTATCACTTCATTAAAGAAGTATTAATAATTCCCTGCTCGAGCAGGAGGCCCTTGCCCTTAATGGGGTGTGCAGTTTGCTAAAAAAATTAAAAAAGGGAATACGAAGGAGTATTATTAAAGTTTTAGGTATATGAAGTATTAGATTTATTAGCGATAGAAGATTGCCAGAATCTGATATTTGGCGGAGATGAAGGTTGCGATAATAAGAAAAATTTCTTAATGGAAGAGGAGAGGTATTATTTTATAATGAAGTTTTATATTGAGTGATGAAAATGAAGGTTCGAAGTCTATAGTAAATCTTTATAGTATTTACAACCTTTATAATTAGCCTTAAGGTTTTGGTTACAATTTACAGAAGTTTGAGTAGAATTTTTGGATGTTTTAGACACCGATGACATTCTGTACAACAAAGGACAATTTGTCTGGGAATGATTAAATTGCTGGCATCTTTTACATTGAATAGGTAGTTATATAGTATATTTTGCATGAATTTTAAAAACATTATAAAACAATTTTTCCAGTTTGAAAATATTAGAAGTATCTTGATTTTTAATGAGTGATGGAACGTATATCAATTAGTATACAATTTTTATTAAAACGATGGTAAAACTAGTGGTGCTAAAAAAGCACCTACTTTCTCGCCCGTACTTTCATGCAAAATTACGTGAAAAGTACTCTTTTGCTATTTTCAAAAAAATGGGGTTTTAACGAATATGGGACTTGCATTATTCTTTTAAATGTCCTTCACATTATCCAACAACAAAATTTAATAAAAACGATTGAGCCATTTTTTTTTAATTTGGAAAATTCCCAGGATCTTCATGGAAAGTACTACCAAAATTAAAATATTGTTTTCAAATTCAAGGGGCCGTACCATTAACCAAATTGGCTGAGGAATATCAATTTTGGGGAAAATCGGCTGTTAGCCGTTAGCGTTGTTCACAGACGGACAGACGTTTTTGCCGTCATTCGATTTTTCGGTATGAAGGACCCACAAAACATGGATTCTGACTACACCACGTGTTAGGTTTATCTTAGCACCTGGTGTATCCACTTTTGCGTTACTAGGGCCCTGTAATAAGAGTTTTCAACCGAAAAGTTAATGCAATTTATTAAAATGTCAAAAACGGTTCCAATTTTTTTTCTGTAAATTTTCTTCTGATAGAGTAAAGACTTCGGGGGCGCAGTTTTCACTATTGTTGAACTTCCTGAATTTTCAAATTTGCGAAAGTTAGAAATAATGTGATAAAGAATGTTGTGTTTTATCGCTAAATTACAGTAATCAGTGACGCACAGTTTGTCTTTCCTTATCAAATCATGGTGTTCCTATTGTATGGATTCCTAATGGATATACTAGTTATCCGTCATCGTTCCGTTTTTTCATCTCTGGGTTTGTTCGTATCTTCTGTAGACGTTCTGTGACCCAGGGATGTGTTGCTACGGTGACGAGTGGTATGAATAGTTTGTGTCTGGTACATTTTGCCTCCAGTTGTTTCATCGGCTTCGTGAGATCTTCTGTAGATCGTTCACATTATAAAGGGAGGCTAAGTCAATTTTGAGGAGACCTATTTTTGGTTTGGTCTTGGAGTAGGAACGTTTGTTTGGGATTGGCCACCGTGGATTGACCTAGGGTTATTTAGGCTGTGGGAACAGCGGAGCAATGTAGAATTGGTTCACAGTCGTTTGTGGCAAGTGGAATGGGGGAAGGATTGATATTTGAGTCTTACGAGATTTTTTGCAGAGCTTAGTTGCTTTGTCCTGAGACTATTATAAGGATGCGTGACTTGCCAGTGGAGAGAAAGTGAGTTCGGCGGCCGTATAGGGTGTTTTCTAGTACCTCCAGGCGTTTCCTGGGAAAGAAGCCTTGTCGATATTGACCGTTGCGCCCTTCTAGTGTCGCTGGGGCAGCAAGGTGACACTGCAGTCAATTTTATCAGTGATAGGGCGATGCCTTTTTGAATGAAGGTTGCCGCTACGACGCTGAATGTCTGCGAACAAACAGAAGAGACAACGAACATAGACGGTACTCAATTGCGCTCTCCTTCTCGAAGCCATTGTTCTTTTTTCTTCTGGGCTAACCCGGCGCTTTCGTGAGAACGAAGGCGCCGGCTAACCTCAAACGGATTACTAGTGAAATTTTATTTTCTTGTAAATTATTTTTTAATTGTTGATTTGTTCGTTCTTTTGTTTCACTTCACTTAGGAGTTGGAACCTCCACTTGGTGTGAATGTTATGCATGTGACGGAATGTCATGGAGCTTGTGATAAGGAAGAGAGGGTTAGAATGAAATTTTGATTTTTTATTTATTTAGTTAAAGAACAGTAATAAAAGTGTCTGTGCATGTTTTCTTGAGCTCCAGAAATACTTCCCAATATTTCAACAATAAATAGTTGAAAGAGGAATAAACGTGTAAAAAATAAACAACAATAATAAAAATCGTGAGATTAGTAACATTTAAAAAAACTAAATATTTTCGTTCCCAGGTTATAGAAAACCCTTTTGCATCCATAAACGAACTGCAGATTTTTTCCCACTAAGAAAATAGTAACTCACCCCTGCTCGTCTCCTACCACCACATGCAAAAGGTGAGCTCAACAAGAGTGCACAGAGTGAAGCTACATTTACGTCCAGAAGGAAAACAAGGGCATTGCACAATGAATCAGGGAAACTGTTCAAAAATCTGATCGAGATAGGGGTAATTGATCCGGATGCTGAAGTACTTTTCTTAATACTGGCACATTAATTTTTTTTAATTATACGATACAAATGTACCGGGTGGGCCAGAAGTATCTAAATATAATTTCTACTTTATTATGATTTTAACCTCGCATGAGTTTTAATTTCCCGTTAGTGACATTCTTACATTACGATAATTAGTTACTCAAAGACATACTAGAGTGCATTGCTAAACAAATATTTGCAGTCAGATGTTTAGTTACTGATTTGCTTACATAGGTTCCTTCTCCATGTAGTTGATTTGATGTCGAAAGAACTTTTTGTATTCAAAGTATGTACAAAGGTGAGTGCGCCTTAATAACTTCAGTACTTTTTCACCTGTACGGAAGGTAGTATTCAATTTAGGGAAACATTTTGAAGCAAATGGAGCAGTCATTGGCTGCCATAGGTTGGGTACACCATCACTAAGTGAGGAGACGAAATTTAAAGCTATTGAACAGATTTCCAAAAAAGCTTACTCACACACTTCAGAGAGGTGTCGATGCAGAGGGAAAACAATTTGAAACAATGTACCATAAATGATGAGATATAACTCACATTAGTGGGCAGAGACTTTTGGCCCATCTGTACAAGTGTTTTGTTAAAATGAACATTTTTCTTTTCAATGATCTGTATAGGGTCTAATTATATAGAAATGGTTATGCAGTAGAAAATATTTTAATTTTAACTTAAATTTGTGTACCGACTTTCATTGTTTTATGTCAGCTGGCAATGTGTTGTAAAGTAACGTACATGTATGCGAATTTCTTGTAGTGAGCTGTTGATACTGACACATGAACGTGGTTTCTACGACGTGTGTTGTAATTATAAATATGAGTATTGCATGAAAATGTGTTCCCACCGTTGAGTAAGATAGTTTTGAAAAAAATGCAGATTCGTTAATATTTAGGCAAGGTAATAGTAGAATTCTAAGATCAATGAAGAAAGGCTTGTAGGGATCGGGTTGATAACATTTTTTTTTCATTTTTCGCATAATTTTCTTTGTCAATCTGAAGGTCTGGGTATAGGTAGGATGAGCTTCTCCAGAATATTATGCCATATCTAAGGCGGGAATACACATTTGCAAAATACACACACCGAACTGCATTAAGGCTGACAATTTGGAAGAATTCTGAATGCGTAATGAACTCAATTGAGGGTACTTTACTTGAAGCTTTAAGGACATTTTAAAATCTTTCTAAAAAATGACTCTAATTTTTTGATCGAACTTTGTCGTGGAATAGCGTTAAGGACGCCTAGAAAAGTGGCGCAATTTTCGTAGAAATATCTGAATTTTCGGAAATTTCAAAAGTATACAATTTTTTCGGCGTCTCTCTATAACTACAGTATTAAAGGCAGATTTTTCCTCTAAATAAAATGTATTCTTCAATATTATATCTTTAAATGAAGACATACATTTTTTGTGAGTATAAAGTTTTTACGTAATCTTGAGTAAACTATCGGCAATTTAAAAATAATTGAAAAATATTCGGAGGAAATAAATGACCTTTCTCTGGGTGTAAATTATGCTCCCAAACAAGACATTTCAGTTGAAGTATTGACAAATTTAGCTGATAGCACTGAAGTGGCTCTCAGTTTTGTAGATAAATATAAACTCTAGTAGAATGCACAAAAAATGTCTGATGAATTAACTACTGCATCTGAAAATAGTATTTTCTATTCTATTCTTAACTTTAAGTCAAAGATAACATAATGTTATACAAAGCTAATAAAGGAAATTGTGGTATTATGCATCAAATGGAATATTTTAATAACGTAGAGTCATTACTAGAAGAAAACCATGTCTTACGTGTGAATAGGGATCCCACCCTATCATAACAATTTCGTAAAGAATGCTATTATGTCCAACTATTTAATTAATAGATAAAAAATTGATCCTTAATAATTATAAATCCTCAGAGCCCTAGGTTATATGGTTTATTCAAGTTACACAAAGAAAATCATCCCATTAAGCCTGTCGTTAGTTTCAATCGCTCTTGTATTTTCCTACTTTGCAAATTGTTGTTTTTAAGAATATGACTAGCTTCAACCCAAAATATAGATTCTTTAATTTTTATGAGTTAATTGATAAAATCAAAAACATCCATGTACCTTCCAATGCTAAACTGGTATCATTTGATGTCACCAACATGTATGTGAACGTTCCCCCTTGTGAGGTTAAAGGCATTTATACTTGACATATTACGATTTCTAAAACCCAATGTCATCATTGGAACTTTGTGCGCGCGCCGCCGCGTTCCTTTGCACTGCTCGGTTCGGAGCAGGCAATCAGATTTTTGGGACGTCACAGAGCCTCTGCCATGCCGTTTGCCGATAGCTGAAAACGCCAAGGGTAGGATGGATTGCAACATACAGTGCCCAGGCGCACTTCCTAAGTTGAGGGACTCGCTGGGCCGGGAGCAGCGGTCGACCAGGAAGCGGCCGAGGGAACCGTTTCCAACTGCCTTAAGTTTGAATCTATAAGTGACGACCATCACATGGACCATTAGTTATAGCTAGATTTAAGATTAAAGGATATGGAACAACGTTATTGCCGGAGTTGGATTTATTGATCACATTGAGTCTAACAAATACTACTGGCCAAGTCTACTCTTCGGCGGAAGGGGTGAAAGACTAAGGAGGCAACCGCATACAGATCTATATTTTTATCATTTGTACGGAGTACTCCGCGTACATTTATTTAAGTCTGAAAAAACCCTGTTTTTTACACTAGTGACGATTTTTAACATTCAAAATTTTTATTCTTGGGGGCAGATTTGCTTATCTTATTCAGTTACTTCCTTTGTACAAGTATTTCATGTATGTAATTTTACTGCCACTTGAATATTCGAGCAATACGGAATCTAATATATAAAAATCAATATCTATCTATCTATCTATCTATCTATCTATCTATCTATCTATCTATCTATCTATCTATCTATCTCTCTCTCTTTCTCTCTCTCTCTCTCTCTCTCTCTCTCTCTCTCTCTCTCTATATATATATATATATATATATATATATATATATATATTTGTTGGTTCGTCTTTTAATGCGCTACCGCACCGTCAATCTGATTGCGATAAAACTCTGTCAACTTATTGCTTGCACTTGTGGGAAGATCATGGGCATAGTACAATTATTGTAACTTCACTAGATGGCGCTAAAGTTAATTGCAATTCCCAATCCACCTGAGCTTCATTGTTGCAGAGCATTGCCGTATGACGTGGGGCGAGGTCGAGGAGGAAAGGAGGATCGAGCGCCATAAGTTGATGAGAGGAGAGGGAACAAGAGGGAGGGGGAATAAAGATTGGGAAAAGGAGAGAGATGGAGTAGGAATGAGAGGGGAAAAGCGGGAAAATAGTGAGAGATGGAAAAGGCAGACAGTGGGGAAAAAAGAGAGACTGAGGGGGGACAAGAGAGACTGAGGGAAAAGAGAGACAGAAGGGGGGGAAGAGAAGCCGAGAGTGAGGGGAAGATAGAGTGGGGGAAAGGGAGAGGGAGAAGAATATTTCCACAATAATTACTCGGTATTTCGCCCTGAGGAAGGTCGCAGAATGGCGACCAAAACGTCGGCATCTTTGCCATGGACGCGGCGTCGCCCGGACAGCCAAGTAAATACTGACTTCAGCCGCGGAAGCCTACGCTCTCGTTGTTTAAGGTGTTTTTAGGCAGTTGAAGGCTACTTTAGTTAGAATGTGTATAGTATTACTTATTTCTGTGTTAATTTCTTACCTTAGAGCTTATGAGTTACATTTACAAATTAATCTTTTAGAAATTATTTAAAAGCTGGCTCCCAATTTACAGTGTTGAATGCTACGTTATTTAGAATTTGTATATTATTTAATATTTCATTTTATTATTTATTATATATTTGTTATTTCATTTTAAATTGCATCCTTTGCGTTAACGAATTCGATAATGATTCGATAACGAATTGTGTTAACGAACGAGCGGTCGTGTTGGTTGTTACTCATTGTTGTAACGCTACCCAGATAACACGATAATGACGGCTGCTTTTGTTTGCGGAAATAAAAACGAATACTTTTCTATATTTGTTGAATATTACAATATCATAGTGTTTAATAATTACTATTATATATTTTTCAATCTATTTGTTTTCCTCGCTATAAGTATTGTGCTATTTATTAACTTCTTTGCATTCTGCTTATTTTTCGCCCCAAATGCTCTACGAATTCAAATGAGTTTTACAAAAACCAATTCGGAGAGAAATTGTGGTATAAATAGTATTGCATAACAATTACTAGTGGCGAGAAAGTACGTGCTGTTTTATCACCACAAGTTATAATTAGTTACCTGAAACAGTTTACTGATTTCGTATTGAGAAGTACAACTGATCGTCTTGAAACATAAGATACTGGAAACGATAACATTTTTATCATCATTTGGTTGATGCAAGAAACCCCCACGCCGGTGCTCGGAATGCTTCAGTCTCTCGTGCGGTGCGATTCATTCGCCCGGCGTAAAACTAATTTGCGGCTTCTCCACAGAGCACAGTAGGGCCTTCGTCCTTTCTCGCCGTTATCTGTAGAAAAGCTCATCGTGATTGGACTTGTGCAGTCTCGTAAGAAGTGCTTGTCTCTAAAACTGCCGAAGCATTGGACTGCACCATTCGACAAATACCCTACATCACCCGGAATTTCGATTTTTGTTAAATGTTAGTTTTAGTAACAACCTTAGTGGAAATATGTTTGTTTTCAATATGGCAATTGATAAGAAAGAGCATGTCTCAAGAGGGAACTCGATTCAACTTTTTCAAATACCTTATTTACACGAATTGTGAATGTCAACCATGTAAGATTCAGGCACCCAAAAAATTCGAAAAATATTTAGTTTTCAAAATAATACTGCAGTTTGATGCAAATTATACTTTGTATTTTGCTGTAGGATCTTCTTGCGCCGTACTGTGAAAGTTCTACTTCAAAAAATCACGAAGATCTGTTATGTTCTTCAGGTGAGTGAATTTAATATTCATTCTTTTATTTCATATCATTGGTATAAATTCATTATAGAGTTGCAAATATTGTGCAAATTACTTCTTTTGCTCGACTTATTTTCTTAAAAAAACAGTAAGAAATATTTTATAATTGATTCAAATGATCAAATTGTTGGAAACAGTTAAATACCGTGACACAGTATATTTCCGATTTATCCATTTTTGAACTGAAGTATCTAATATTTTTCTCTTTTTCATAACAATTAGGTAAACGTTTTCACATTTCAAGAAAATAAATTACATAAACCAAATTAATAATAAATCAAATAATGGAATTCTTCTCCATAAATGTCGACTATATTTGCTGATAGTCATTAAATTTTGCTGGTAATAATTGAAGCGTTGTTGAATTTGCTGCTTCCAAAATTTGAGGTCACGTACACATTTCATGCTCAAAGTCGGTACTTTACAGATTTATTTTCTATTAAATGGGCAGAGGGAAATGTAATGAGAAATATGAGCAATGTGCATATAAAACTGCAAAATGTTGCCCTTGTTTACAACGGTTTAAAAGAAACGCTAATTACAATGGGAATGCAATTCTGCATGTGGATTCCAAACATGCTATAAACGTGATTGGTGGTTGATTTTAAATTGGAATCTACGATGGGTGAAATCGATATCATCCTTCTACTAAATGCACAGCTGGAATATATACATTAATCGTTTAAATATATAAAACATTTGAAAGATCACGCGTTGAAGTTCTGGGCACGAACACATATATTATTAACTGTGTTACAAAAATATAAATCGTGTTTAATTAGAAAGATCACGTTTTAATGTTCTGAGGAATGCGGATTTATTTCCCAACATACCCTGTATTACTTGAAGATAGAGCCTAAGTTGATCTACATTACCATGTAGATGAGTTATATTTAATACACCAAACCCATCATTTTAAGCCGTTATTACTGATTTCTTCCGATGGTAAATGCCATTCTAATTATCATTATCAGTTGAACTAACAATCCCATAGCCAAAACGATCACGGCCGACACTTGTGGAGCACGTTTGGCCTACTTTATCCAGGTTCCCAATGCTGTGATGTGATTTCTTGCTTTGGCAAATTAATTTTATAAAATGACAAACAAGAATGTAATGACTTTAGGGATGTGTGTTATGAAAAGCTGCATTTTTTAAGCATTACGAAGAAAAATCTTCCTCTTTAGAAGAATTTGTAGTTCAGTAGCCTACATTCCTCACATTTTGCCATTAATGCGTGCCCAAATTCACATGTTGACATGTTAACAATGAGTGAACCTATGGCGCTGCAAATTAATGTTGAGTACTAGATTATTAAAAATTACTTCAGTATCCCCTGTCAAAAGGTATCTGGCAGTTAACATAAAAAGCGTGCTTTGTTCCTAGTATCTTGATTTACATGAATTACGTTTTCTGTTTCCAGATTTTGAACTGAATTCGTTTGACTGTACCGTCTGCAAGATGACCGTCACCCAAAGAAAGAAAATATTTAGGCACCCGCGTATCGAAGTTAATGAGCAACATTTCCGATGCTCTGACTGTGAGATGCGATTCTGCGGAAAGTCCGTCGTGAAACCAGATACGCACATCCACAGTGGGGAGAGACCTTTTGAATGTGCTGTATGGAAGAAGAGATTTACTCTAAAGGGGAACTTGCGTAGGCATATGCGCGTCCACGATTGTGAAAAACATTTTCAATGTTCAATTTGTGAGAAGAGATTTACCACAAACAGAAACTTACTACGACACATGGTTGTCCATAGTGGCGAACAACGTTTCCATTGCAGTGTCTGTGAGAAGAGATTCTACGTAAAAGAACACTTACAACAGCATATGCGCATGCATACTGGGGACAAACCTTTTCAATGCACTGTGTGTGAAAAGAGCTTCAGTCAAAAAGGAAACTTACTTAGGCACATGGACATCCACGCTGGTCAGAAACGTTTTCAGTGTTCCACCTGCGAGAAAAGATATTCATCAATGGAGTACTTCCGAGCGCACAAGCGCCTTCACACTGGTGAGATACGTTTTGAATGCCCAACCTGTAAGAAATACTTCACTCAAAAGGAACACATGAATGAACACATGCGCATTCACACTGGCGACAAACCTTTTCAGTGTTCAATCTGTGAGAAAAGATTCATTGTAAAGAGCGCATTATTACGGCACATAGGCATCCACACTAGTGAGAAACCTTTTGAATGCCCAACCTGCAAGAAGTCCTTCACTCAAAACGTGCACATGAAGGAACACATGCGTATTCACACTGGAGAGAAACCTTATGAGTGTTCCATCTGTCTGAAGAGATTCTGTGGGAAGAGCACATTGTTACGACACATGGTCATTCACACTAGTGAGAAATCTTTCGAATGCGCAATTTGAAAAAAAGTCCTTCACTCAAAAAGGGCATATGAATGAACACAGGTGATAAACCTTATGTGTTCCATCTGTGAGATGCGATTCACCAGAATAGAGATTTAGTACGACACACGGGCATCTACACTATTAACGATTAGAAGGTACAATCTTCAAGAATGGCTTTTTTGTTTCGAAAAAACGGTGCATTAATGAACTTAGAAACAACCACTCATACACACGTTCGTAAATGTGAACGTTCCATTGGCGATAAGAGGTTTTCCACCAAGCAAAACTTATTACGACTCATTGGCATCCACTTATGTGAGGAACCTTATGAATTCACCGTTTGCTAGAATTGCTTAAATAGAATGGGTTGTGAGCCGTTTCTGGAGTGCTAGTGACATCTTCCTGGCGGCTCATTGAAAAACGAAAGAAGTGTATTAAAAAGTCGAAACTAAAATTATGTCGTAGGCGATGGCGTGAGTGGAGCGTGTTGCCTCGTAAGACCTTTGCCTAAAACGTTGCGTGAAAACTTTGCGCAAATTTATAATAGCTTCTTGATTTCTCGCAATCGAATCATTCATGTAGGTTAGCATATTTCCATCAGAAATCAAAGTTCTAAAGACTGTATTCTGAAAACTGTGGAAATCAATGAAGAATTGCATAATTCAAAAGCATCTTATTAAGGTCATACTGTCAGGAAGTAAAAATCATGTAAACTTTTTGCTGTCTTTTTGAAGGGATACGTATGTATTGTTAGCAGTTGAATCACATGAATTTAACAGCTGCACTTCACTAGTAATTCGCAGCGCACATTATTAATAAATGAACATAGTCCCTGTCTATGAGAGTGCAAAAGATGCGGCATGGTGCCGGACGCGTGAAAATAATCTACAGTCAATTTGTTGTTAATCAGCTAAAATATAGCTGTGCGTGTGTGCAACATGTACTTAGATTAAATATGTGCCTGATACGCGCACTGTAGACATTACCACAGTAATTGGCATATATTGATTTAAATGAGAGAGCTTACAAAACTTTGTGTGTCTCGGGTACGTCTTAGTAGGCGGCTGAAGGAACAGTTTCGTTGCGTGGTTGCAGAAGAAAGCGACTTCGCGGTTAACCTGAATTCATCTGAGGGCGTTGAAATTAAAGAAAATTTAGACTATGCTGTAATTTGAACAAGTTATAGGATTTTGCAGCAAATTGAAAAGTAGGCATTGTAATATGTGATACGAAGCTAAGTTTCGTGTATCGCGTAATAATTTTCTGAGAAGACTGCGAAGTCGTCTGTCGGACGCGCGTGCAGTTCGCGTCAGTACAATCTGAGAACCTTTCAGGAAGGGGCCTGGCTGTCGAATGCGTAATGTGGCGTGAGTCGAGGCGTTGAATGGAAATATAGAATACAGAATAATGCAATTAGAATTATTTGTACGACACTTAATTACTGTTTTACGGCACAGTGTGCATATTAAATTATATATAATGTGCTTATAAATAATACACTTAAGCTTGTTCCACCATTACACTCCCACAGCAAACTTACGGTTTTCGAGAAAAAATAGATGGGGCAACAAGCGTTAGTTGGGCAAGGGATGGAATCTAGTTATAATAAATTGCATTGAATGAACTTAATAGTTGTAAAGGAGTGCACAATGTGCGTGATTCATGAAGAGGTTGCAGTGACCTGTGGCGGTTGGAGATGTTGAGCAAGGCTACACTCTGAGGCAGGGAAAGGAAAATTTCTGGAAGTGTATGAATGTGAAAGGAAATTGAGGGAGGTCGCAGTGACGTGCCGTTGGAGTCGTTGAACAAGACAACAGTCCGTCACAAAGAAAAGGATTTTTTTTTCAAATGAGGGAATTGAAAAAAAAAGTTTTGTGCAGATTACAACTGTGGCTAACAATTAAACTAAAATAATTAAACTCTACTTAAATACACAAGAGAAATTAAACCTAAATTCTGAATGACAAAAATTGAACCCTAATTGTAAATGACAAAATATAATTGACTAAACCCTAATCAACCTACATAAGTTGAGAAATTAATGCTAAACAATGAAAAATGGACACGTGACATATAAACCACAGATGACTAACCTAAACTTGACTCAAAAAATTAGACACTGAAATTACAACAATGACATGGACCCTTGAGACTTCAATTAAAGGCAGGTAGTATATGTACAAACCTAGTCTAGAGCAAATGCAGGACATAATAATTGAAACACACACAAGCCATTATTATGAGAGAATCATATGTTCATCTAAACCTAACATGAAATATTGAAGTATGACTATGAGTCATAATATGAGGACTGTTCAAAAAGTAATGATAACAGTTACCCTGAGGGAAAATGTGTTGCGAATGGTAGTAGCACTGAATGCCATTGTGTAACCTAATTGATTAACCAACAATACCGATAATTTTAAGAAGACTGGTGTAGTGAGTGAATGTACGTATGTGACGCTTCATCTAAAGTGTGTTAAATATTCGTCTACCATGTCCATCATGGATATAAAGTTAGAGAAACAGTGAAGAGGTTATGAACCATGTGACCTTCAAGTGGTATAAAGCGTTCGAGAACTGTAGAGCCGCGTGAGGCGGCGACCTTCAACGTCTCGCATCGCTTCAGAACACAGCTGCCGCCAATATTCGCGAAGATCGACGAATAACCATTAGAGAGCTTGCCGCAGACCTAGACATTTCAGTGGTAGCGCATTTTCGATTGCGCACGATGGTGTGGACATGCTACGCATATCATGCAGATGGGGACCGCGAGACCTCGCGTCGCTCGCACTGTAGTGGATTTCTTGAATGCTGGAGGCAACTCAACTGTACCCCTACCACCGTAGTCCAGATTTGGCTCCTTGCGACTTCCCTGAACTGTCGTTTCCGCTCAGAAGACGGAATTTCAAGGACAATCACGAG